AGTAGTGATCCTATTTTTTAWGGAACTTCTGCTTGTATTGTAGCGATAACAGTATCGCAGTACTGCATAGACTGCGTAATAGTTCAATAGAAAATAAAGATCAAAACGTAACAATAGAGCAGAAGCTAAACAGTACCCCCTAATACAAGGAAACCTAACCGTATTACATAGATTGTACACAAAAAAGGCCACATAAAAAAAACTAAAACAAAACAACAACAAAGAAACATGCCGATGCATAAGAACAGAATACAATCGTTGCCAAAAAACCTTAGAATAGAATTAGGATAGAATTATTTGGGTCCAGCATAAAAATTTTTCTCCTTTATTTTTTCACAGTCCAAGGAATTGTCAACGATTGTACATTCAGTTCTGTTCGAAAGTCCATTGTTACCTTTGAGAAGTATGTTGGCATCATTGATTAGTACTGCTTTCTTCTTAGGATTTGGCGTCACGGTCAGGTCACAAATATGTATGATCGCCGCAAGAATGCGATAAATGTTGTCTACGTTCTAAAATCATTAACAATAATTAATTAATTTATAGCTTAATACCAATCAATCAACCAATTAATCAGTCAAGCAAGCAAACAAACAGCCAATCAGCTAGCATAATCGTCAACCGATGAGCAATAGTTGTTTTTTTAGATATTTTAGAGCGGATTTCCTATGAGTGGGAAACGGACGGTACTGTACTGTGACCCTAATCGTACTGTAACCAAATTCTAGTGCCCCATTGGTTCACCAAAATTCTGCAGGCCAGGTGCGGTAACTGTGCGGTAACTGTGCGGTAACGGTGTCCCATTCATACGAAATCCGCTCTATTTCTGTGATCATACATGAAAAAAAATGAAGACAAGGCTACGGGAAATAGAAGAAACATTAAGATTACCCATTATCTCCCTGAATCTTAGTCTGTAGTACCTCTGTACACGTTTACCCAAAATATCTTAAGTCAACTTTTGACCWAAAACTAAAATAACGACAGACCAGTGTTTATATGGCATTGTAAACACTTCACTTACGTCTTGACTAAATCCTAAGGATTTTAAATTTTCCTCCACATTGTTCAATTCTTCTTGATACTTGTGCTCTTCATCTTGTAAGTCAACATCATCGCCAATGCATCTAAAACAAAGCAAATTGATAATCAAATCAAATATTGCAAAGATTGCCCTAAAAAATCGTTCCAATTATAACAATACTAAAAACTGACAATTTGAGTATTTAGTTATGTTTTTTTCATGCCGAAGTCTTACTTAAGGGGACATCTAATTTCCGTTTTTTTCCGAAAGAAGGCCGCTTGAAATGCATTAACACAAATATATAGTCGGGAATACTTTTGTGCCTGATGTTTGTTTTCCGCCAGAAATCACTGCACTCACAAAGGGACTCCTCGGGGCCACATTGCTTGCGGAATCTGTGGTTGTGCATCAAAGGGATGCAGAATCGAAAATACCAAAATATAGTCATTTTTGAGCTCTTTATCTTTTTTTGCAATGTTCCTTAAATATTTTTTGGGAAAAAAAGTCATGATTTTTTTCTTTTACTAATTTGATGGCTGCATCAAACATGATGCCGAGTTTTGCCTCGCCGTTTTCGTCTTAACTGCGAAAAGGGCTATTAAAAAGCAATTTTATGTATGTCCACTTAAAACGGGATCCCTATGGTATATGCTTGGRCCAGAAATCATTGCAGCCACTACGGGACAGCAGTGGCAGTGAATTTCGATACTGTAAAAAGTGACCTTTCTAAAATAGTCGGCGACAGTTTACTAGAAGGAAATCGTCTTTGTTGCTATGGAAAAAGATAAGGTTTGTATCACCTATAAATGCTACATTACTTAATAATAATCCAAAATTTCAGTGCATATTTTAATATTTAAAAAATACTCTGATTAACCATAAATCATTACCTCAAGGGTGCGATAAAGTTTATACATACCATAAAGATATGTATTACTATGTATAAGTGACGTGTTAGTCTTA